GTGTGCCATCACTATAAGGGATTAGAGTATACTAAACTTTACACATTATATATATTGGGGGGGGGGGTAATAAAAGTGTTCCAAAATGTGACATGAATTTCTTGATGACCTAATACATCAGAAAAAATGTCATGTTATCATAGAACATTGGCTAGAAAATTTTGTCTTTCATTCTTTTTTGGATGTTTTTCCCAATAAAGAACCATGCTTATCCCAAGATATATTCATATGTAGTTAGATTTCTTCTACAAAGAAATAAACTTCACACAGTAAATAATACATTAGTAGTCTATTAGTTCCTGCTGAGATTATTATTCTAAAAAGGAGCTAAAGACAGATCAGCATGTATGTTCTATTCCTATCAAATTTTAGTTTTGAAATGCTTTTCAAAAGACATACATACCATCAACATTAAGAATTTTGAAATTAATTAATTTGTAAGTGGGTGGTAATAACCAATAAACATACTTAAAGTATTTTCCAATCTTAAATTCTGAGACAGAATAACTTTTGATTGTCTTTATGGGAAGTTAATATGAACTAACAAACAAAAGATGTGGCTGGCTATCAAGTTGTTTCTTAAAAAGAGTGTGTGTAGCCATGTTGAGCTATCAGCTGTGTCCACCGAGGGAAAATGAACCCCCGATTTTAGCGTTGTAACTCCGGAGACTTACCGCTGTCCCACTAGGGGGGCTCTTAAAAAGAGAAACTTGTAAAGATTTTAAATTAACTTATAAATAAGTATGAGGGTCACACATAACTGATGGCAAGAATTTTAAGACTTCCTTTATATTTTATAATTCTAAGTTCTTCAATTCTTATTGGAGTTAACAAGAGTGCTGAAAAATCTATAAAGATCTCCAGATTTTGTATTGTTAGTTAGCTGGAACAGTCATTTTATGTGGTTAATAGTGTGCTGTCTGTTTTGTTAGTTAGATGGAGCTTTGTTGTTGAACGATCAAAGTTCTATAGAACAAATTTAAAAGTGTGTAGTGTGTTAGTCATTAGCTTTGTAACTGCATAAAATATTTTGATGAAAACATTAAATTTGACCACCATCATAGATAAAAATTAAAAACAAAAATGGATATATGTTTAACAAATTTGAAAGTTTCTACATCAACCATTTTGTATATTTCTATTTTCATTATTCAATAGCAATAGTTGCATATGTTTTAGTACCCTTTTATTGAAACTATACTTGTTCTAATCGGTTGAAACTGAACATTGTTGAATGGGTGTGGTTCCATGCATACATTTACACTTTATGGAAAGAATAAATATTATTGGTATTGAGTGTTTATCAGATGTTCTGATACTGAGTTTGTAATATGTAGCCTAACAGAACATTACTGTAATAAACAGAGTTGTTTGCCACATTGACTATTATAAAAAAGTTTAGATGTGTATGAAAATGTGATACATTTTATCATATGAAGTTCCTCAAACAAACTTTATTTTTGATAATGCAAAAATTTCACACAACTACTTGTAAGATAATTAAATATTTTATGAAATAAATGTACAAGTATCAAAAATAATGATCAAAACAAATGACAGTGATATATGTATTACTGGTCTTTGTAGAAAAATTTTGAATTTTTCTTTAGTAGTAAATACAATGGAGACCATGTTATTATGATATGCACATTTCTGACAAACTAAACTATTTTCAGTTTAAGTTAGCTATTTCTTCAAAACAAAGGTGTAAAGTTTGATAATAGAAATCTAGTTAAAAAGATTTTTATTCAGACCAAAACATACAAGTAAAACAAATGTGGTGAATCTTTACACTAGACAACTGAACTGGGATAGCATCAAAATTAATATCAATATAGCAGGTTCAGTTTCTAGTAACAACAAAATATGTACACATGGTGTACTAGATGACAGAATCCATTCTACCTTGCATGTATGATAATAAAATGGTTGTTTTTGTTTCCTCATAACCAAGGATGCCAAGCTGGATCCATCCTACAGAGATTATCATGGCTGTTAGCAGCTGCAACTAGAGTGCTGACTTTACTTTCACATCCTTCAAAAGTAGCCAAACCTGAAGTACAAATTAGTTGTGTTAACTTATAGTATAATTACTGGTGAAAAAAGGTATCAAAAAGGAAATGAAAATTTAGTTTTTTAATTTTTTTGTTTATCAATACCAAAATATTGCAATCAAATTCTTACATATTTGTTCTCCCAATTGTATAAAAAAATATTATATTATGCAAAATACAGTTTGGTGAATGAACTCAACACACTATTATTGATCTAAATACATATATATATATGTATTTTACACAAAGCAATGACAATTACCCCTCTCAGATTATTGATAGGTAAATCAGAAGTCTTTCTGGTGATTTTTAGTGCTCATAATGGGCCACGACCCGTGGCTACACATTCAGATATTGCATTCATGTGGAAACCAACTATTCAAATCTAATGAGTATTACTTACAAATATCAGCAGTGTGTGTTAACCCATTTCGATTCTAATGTTAAAGTTTGCCAAGCACCTGTTATCTGTCAATTCTGACTCATTGTGGTTGTAGGGTACCTACTCCCATACTAGAGCAGATTTTTAAATTATCCCACATTAGTGTACAGTAAATAGAAATATACCTTACAAGGCTGGGCTGCATGACCAATGAAATGGATTCTGGTCACCCTAAATAGAAACAATACCAGCAGACCAACGTGTGGAGTAATGTTAATTTACAAACAGGTCATATTTCTTCCTGCACCCAAATAACTTAAAATATTGTAGAGTTGTGACTCATACGATAGTGGCAGAAGTATGATTTGGGCAGAAATAAGCATTGAAATACTGACTTATACAGTCTGAAAAATTGTATCATTTATGCCACATATTACTGAACCATATCATATGACCTATTTGCAGCACCTATGCTGGTGTAATACATTCCCTTCAAGAATAGGAGTTTTCCAGATGGGGTGGTCTGCATATTAATTAAAGTTAAATCCCATTAAGCATGTAAGGAAAGTGACACAGGCAGTCAACTGACAGTAAGGTGGAGGATGTCTCAATGTTATGAATAAGCATGCAACACTAGTGCCTAGCTGTCTTTGCTACTTGTGTTAACCAAGTGTGCAAGGAATTGGTCCACTGGACTGAGCCTATACTGGAGAAGAAATGTTGACTATAATACCAAATTTACTATGTGTATCTACACAAAATGTGGCAAGCTTTTAGTAGTTAGTAAAATATACAAGTCTGTTGTAAATGAAAATCAGATGTGTTACAGAAGTATCTCTTCACGAGTTGTGTTTGTGAACTGACTCATACTTTGACAATTCAGAGTGCAAGTTGATGTTCATGTGAAGAATAAAAATACTTTTGTCCATCATGTCTTTTACATATCATATTTGCATAACCTCTAGAACCTCTGAAATGCATATTTACAGTTTTTCCTGTATTTTTTGTATTTACTCTCTTCTTTCATGAACTGTTGATAAATCAAGAATGAATAGTTGATAACTCTAACATCAATTACATAATACTATGTTGAATGGCACTCTGTAAAAGGTTGAGTCACACACACACACACACTAACCATTCCTGTGCACGTAGGGTTAACCAGTTGAAATTAAATGTAAATATGTACACCCATCTCTACCAAAATGTTCATTTGTGTGCATAGACTGTATCATCAATAATATACAGCTGCCTGATTTCAATAAAGATGAACTGAGGGTGTTGAGTAAAATTATTCTATTACAAGAGAAAGAGACACCACCACTGACTATTTTACATAAGAAATACTGCTTGGGTCCAAACATAAAGATGAATTGAAGGGTTGAATAACATTATTTTAATAACACTGACTATTTGATGGTTGAAACATTTGTGACATGCTGCCTGGGTCCAAATGCAAAGATGAACTGGGATGGTGAATAACATTATTTTATTACAACAAAAAGACATCACTAATGACTATTTCAAACAAGAAATATTTGTGGTGTGTTTTCTGGGTTCCAAACACAAAGACTGAATCAAGGACTGCATTATGTATGTGCTTTGGCCACCCAAGGTTCTCTAGACGCCAGTTTAGTATTTGTACAAATTATTTACATAAAATACAATTATGTGCACACATTGTATAAATTTGTAAAAGTTAAAATTAGCTTGTGTGCGTTACATTATTTCTGAACTGTATTATTTGACTGTGATTATAAATAACTTATAATACTTTTACAAAGTAATTTAGTCTTCACAGCAATCAAGACTATGAAAATTATAATAATCATAAATATTTACTTGTGCTGAAAAAATGCAGAAATGAATAACTTACTTTGTAGTCTAGCCATGATTGCATTCACAGCCTTTGTTACCATGGCAATCAACAGTTCTCCTTCCATATCCGGAGGCGAAGACCCTTGAGTCTGACTGTCATCTTGCCTCTGGAAGAAGAAAATTTTAATAAATATCTGTTTTAAAAGTTATTGAAATAATAATACTTGTATTTTTTACATGTAATTATAATACTTTCACTACAGTATTAGAAATTAACCACATAAATACATAATGAATTTATAAATTTTATGGTCATTTATACTTACAAGGTATACTATTAAGCATGGCTACTGGTCAGTGAGGTAACTGTTGTGTAATAAGTATACAACAGTCCATTATTAACCAAATGTGGATGGGGTAGCTCCATTTTACCAACCCCATATTGGAGAAGGAATGTTGAATATAATTTCAAATTAACTACATTTATCTATACAAAGTATAGCATGCTTTTAGTGAAATGTACAAATCTGTTATAAAATTAGTATCACTTAAGATACGTCTGTGAATTGATGATGTCAGACTGACAAGCTGGAGTACAAAGTAACATTCATGTGAAGAATAAGCATACTTTGCTGATTGTACAGTTCGCATATTGCATCTAAATAACCTTTAGAACTTCTCATACATACATATACAGCTTTTTTCATTATCCTTGTATATTGTATCCAGCATTTTCTCTCTACCATGAACTGTCTCTAAGTCAGCAGAGTAAATAATATTGCATCCTGGAAATAACAGTTATATTATCCCACATCAATGTACAATGATTAGAAATAGCACGGCCAGAATTTTTTTTTCGTGAACTGACCTAGGATGATGTTATAGAATTACTTATATTTCAATTCTCTCAAATAGCCTTTCTGAAGTTAATAACTCTCATATCAAATATATAATACCATATTAAATGGCACTCTGTAAAAAATTGTGACATGGGCACTTTGACCCCACCTATACACATAGGGTTAAGAAAAAAACAGGCTGTAAAATAAAAAAATAAGTTCTTATATGCTCACTGGCCAGAAGAGTATAGGTTTTTCTGCCTAATGTCTTTGGCACACAACCACTTTTCCAAGTGATAACATTAGAGCATTATTGATCCACAACAGGTTTGTGTTTTGCCAAAGAGTATGTACCACTTTCATTAAGTTACTGGGAAAAAAAAGCTGTTAGTATACCAGTCTTGCAACATCGAAAATTTTTGTTTTATTACCTAGATGTGACTTTCTGAAAATATAAACATACGTACATGTAGTTCATGTTGGTTGAAAAAATATAGGTTCTACAGGTCATTCAAAAATATAGGACCAATTTCAAAGCTTTCATAGGTTCACTGAGATCCTCGCACTAGTTTTCTAAATGGATTTTCAAATTTTAATTTCATATTTTGTCAGTACATATTATTATAGTACCTTTTTATGCCAAGAGATCATTTCATCTCTGAGAATAGCTCGAAGCAGTGCTTGGACCTTGAAATTTGGCTGGACAAGACATCTAGCAGTAGCTATCATGGAAGCTGTCATTGGGCCATTAACCCCTATGGTAGTGATCAACTCTGATATGTTGGGTGTGAGTCTAAATGGAACAGGGCGGTTGGCATCAAGTTCACCTGGGTTAAAACATAATTCAGTTTTAAAGAAAGTTTTTAATATTTGTATATACAGACTTAATATGTACAACAAAAATTATGCTACATTGTATTTTTTTTTTTTTTACTCGTAGCAGAAAAAAAAAGATTTATCTAAAATGTTTTTACACATTTCATTTAAAATTAACAAAAATTAATTAAGAGGAATGTGGAGAAAAAAACCTACTGCCTGATGCAACTTTTTTCATTAATATTAAGCCTACTGGTTTCATCTCTTGGTTGTCTTTTGGCTAACCTATAACAATAATACTAATGTACTTAATATTTTTTGAAGTACATAAAATTAACATTCTGACAAACTTGTCTCTGCTGTTACATCAAGGAACTTACTGCTTTTGGCATGAGAAATTGTATAGTACAAGAACTACAAATTTCTGTATAATATCTAATGTAGCTCTAGTAGGCACATTAATAGCAGTTCAGTTTTACAATGTCAAAAGTCTGATATAAAGTCAATAAAAATAAAAACTATATATTAAAGAAAGTTTACTTATTGCTAAAGACCACCTGACTCTTAATGACTCGTGAAGCTTTTTAGATCTAAAAATATTCTAATTTTACACACTTAAAACTCAACTGTTTTACAATATATCTATAATAATTTGTTTTATCCTTCCATTTACAACTTCTTTGAATAATGATTATGATATTATAGTGTTAGAGAATAATCATCTTTGTAACACGATTTTCAGATTTTGTTGAAGATGGAATGAGTGCATTCCGAAACGTTCGAACCTTGTAAATAAAATGTGTTTTATCAACTGTCTTCATCTTCATTATTAGACCTTCATCATGAATCCATTTTTAATGTTATAAACAGATAGTGTGGGATCAACACCCTACGACTTTTCAGATGGTGTGAAAAGATTGATTTAAAGACTAAAAAAACCACCCTCAATATCCAGTTTCTTACAGAATACAAGTAACATAAACTGATGCCATCTTTACTTTGTTTCAAAGTAGCAAATGGAAAACTCCAGAACTCATCTGCATATGCCGGTTGACAACTCTGACTTTTAGAGGAAGAACTTAAACACTATTGACAACATCTATCTAACCTAGAATGCCAATATCTCCAAAAGTACGTTTCCTACATTGATTTTGTGCAGTTGACATGCTTAATCCACAAGAATAACCACACAGGAACAAGTCCAAAATAGAAAACTCCAAAAACTGCGAATTCATTCATCTTTCTCTCTGGTTTTAATCCTGATAATGTAATATTTAATCTGATTGATCTTTAACTTGATGATGTTTGTAAACAAGCTCTAATCAAAGGCCTTAACTTTAGCATTCCAGCTTTCAAACTAAACTATGCTAATTATATTTATAATTTTGGAAAGGTTTACAGAACCCTTACTTATTTTCCATTGTTAACTAAATCAAATAATGATACAGTGTAATATCTTGTAAAAACCAAACTAAAAAACATTGCTCTTTCCTCCTACTACAGATATAACTTCTGTCGTTCTACCTTTCCATTAAACAATGCTGAACTAAAGCTCTCAAAGCTCTGTCAAAAACAAAAAAAGATATTATTGTCACTAAACCAGAAATAGTAATGGTATTGTTTTTACAAAAAAAGCTGAATATATGGATAAAATAAACCACCAGCTCACTGACCCCATAAATTTAAAAAGCTAGATACAGATTTGTTATCCCTAACTTTTAAGAGAGAAGATAAAATCCTACATTTTATCAAGACCCTTAAAAGTCAAAATATTATCTCTGAAATGACTTTTCAACAAAGTGCCCCATGTGGCACTAAACCCAGTATTCTTTATGGCCTACCCACAGTACACAAAGCTGGATACCCTCTCCACCCTATTCTCTCTTAGCTGTAGGCTTCTGCAACTACCTGTCAAAAGTTATTGTTCGTATCCTTAAACCCCTCACCTTGAATAAATTTATGATTACTGACTCTTTTACCTTTGCTTCTGAAATCTCTAAAATTCCCTCTGCTGATCAATATATTATGGACAGTTTTGATATTGAAGAATCTCTCTATACTAATATTCCCCTTGATGAAACTAAATTTAATTGTGGACCTTCTCTTTCCTACTGACACTGGGCAGTATCTTGGTTTCACCTGTACACAATTCTTGGAACTTCTTGTCCTCTCCACAAAGTTAAACCATTTCCTCTTTAATGATGTCAGTTCTGATCAGATAGATGGGATTCCCACTGGGTCCAATGATAGACAATGGTTTTCTATGCTATCATGAATGCAAGTGGATATAAAACTGCCCAGATGAATTCAAATCTGTCTTTTAAAAATGCTATATTGATGACACTTTCTTGCTGTTTCAGCAATCAAGTCCCATTTCCAAGTTCTTTTTTACCTTAATTCCCAACACCCCAATATCAAGTTCATATCCAAACTAGAGAAAAATAATCCCTTACTGTTCCTAGATGTCAGGATTACCAAAAAAGGTAAACACTTTTCTACTTCTGTTTATCATAAAAGTATTTTTTATTTATCAAAAGTCATTGGCCACAGAAATCATCCCAATGAGCTGGAGCTATACCAGCCAGTAGTTTAAGTGAAGTGCTACTTATATGAATTATACAAAATCCAATGTGATGAAAATCAAGTTTCACAGCTGTAGTCAAGCATGTTTTAAGCTACTAGGCCTAATGAATTTCCTTAATTGGTCAGCTAAGACATTTTGCACCTTAACATAAGAAATATTGAAGTTACATTATTTTATTTATAATAAAAACACTGAATAATTTCAGAATTTCTAACTTCAAATTTTTAGATTATGAAATCAAGAAAAATAATTTCTATGCAATATTTAAGGCTTAATAAAAATAGTTTGATGCATAGAAAAAACAATTATACACGTGTAACTGCAAATAAGATTTCTGAATCTGACTGTCATTTTGCGTCTTGAGGAAGTATTTTATAACCTACAAGTGATGATGATTTATCTCTCTTTTTATATTTTGGTCTTTCTTCAGTAATGATGTCGTCAACAGTGAACTTCTTGAATGCTATAATGCTTAAACTGCTCATGTTCAGTGTAATATTAATAACCTTAAGTATCCATTTTGTTTGCAGGTTTAACTAACAGTTACACTGTTAACAATCATGTAAAATTCATAAAATGTAATTACCTGAGATGTCATCAACATCAAATCTAAAATATGAAATATTGATAAGTCCACTGTCCTGGTGAATGTACATCATGTCAGGATTCAGACGAGTCAGGTGTAAGACAAACTCGGCAAATCCAGCTAGAGAAAGTTGCAGTGTGAACTGAAAGGAAGAAAATGACAGATGGTTTTTATGTCCAACAGAAACATAATAAGCTGATGAATCAGATACAATAAGATACTTTACCTTAAATTCTTTTAATTCAAGTAAAACCTTCATATTAAGTTAATACTTAAAATTATAGTATTTGTTTGTTTTAGCACAAAGCTACACAATAGGATATCTGTGCTCTGTCCAACACATGGAAACAAACCCCGGATTTTAGCACTGTAAGTCCATAAACTTACCTCTGACCCACTGGAATATGCTTAAATTGTAATTCTCAAATCATAGTATAAAGATGTGAAAAAATGAAGTTTTAAACTTAACACATACAAAATTTACCTGTCGTCGAAAAGTCCAATAGTCTGTAGCACCTGGGAAAGTTTGAGTGACCCATTCTTTGAGCATGCTACGGGGTACCATTACACCCTGTACATCCTTTAAAATATCTCTTAGAACCTGGTGGCTAGCCTGAGACCCACGAGCTTGGACAGTAGCTAGTCTCTCATAGTAACGAGAGACTGGGTTATCATGCTCAATACCTCGTTTCATGCATCGCTGAAAAAAAAACATCCATGAGAAATCATTATAAAAATTAACAACTTACGTGACTCTCTAACATATTAATTACTTTACTTCCTTAATATTACATCAAGTAATAAGTCTGTGATTGAATTTGTTATTCAAAAATGTGTGATGGAATAAAACAAATATAAACTAAATAAAATGGCTGTGTATATATTTAAAAATTGGCCGAAATTATGAACAACAATTACTTACTGATATCAGCGCTGATTCTAGATATGGTAATATTTAAAAGTTATTACTTTTTAAAGGTATAAATGCAGAAATGGCAATAAACTGCTTCTAGGCTGAAAATGGGTTAATGATCATGACTATAATTGAAAACTATACTTCTCTTTGCAAAGTACTTCATAAAACTGGTTAGTTTTCCTCGATTTTTTTTTTCTAAACTGAAGAATTACTGCACAAAGACTTGGTCAGACATGGAATTCAACCTGAATATTAACTATATTTGAATTTTACAGCTCTATGTAAAGTTATTATCAGCAATTTGTTTACTGTACTTGGGAATCAACTTGTGAAACTGAAATGAAGTTAAAAAAATATTTGACAAAACATCAAAACCATATTAAGGTTAATGAAAGTCATTTTGTATTAATTGGCAATTATAGCATTGATCTTGTATTTTTCATTTGACTTACATTATGAAAGTACAGCTGTCAAGAAACAAAATAAATATTTGGTAGTGCAAAAGGTTAAAATATTTTAAAATTTACAACTTCAATATTAAGGCACTAGTGTAGCATACATCAAAAAAGAAAACGTGATGGCCAAATAAATCTATCATGTAACCTTTATAGAGGTACTAAACTTAGGTACAGTGCCTTGCAAAAGTATTCACCCCTACCAATTTGTCACATTTTGTTGAAATACAAATAATGTAAAACTGTGTTTCTTAATGAACTTGTTTTTATTCAAAACTCTAATGATCAAACTTAACACTGTTATGTGTGAAGGAGGTTGAATGTCA